CTCCAATGTAATGAGGTTGTGCGGCCTTCCACTCCAAGTTATCCTTGTGATGTTCTTCAGACCACCCAACAATGAAGCTTAGCCTGTGATTCGATGTCAATATATCTTCTTCAAAATCGTAAATCCCAAAGCGTTATCAAATGGCACGTGCAATTCGTTGACTGTGAGGGTTCTGTTGGAGAAACTGTTGACAACTCTATGCCATTTTCTGAAGCTCTCCGGAAGTTCTGCACACAGAGAAAGCCAAGACGTCAAGATTGGGACATTTGAGGAATAACAATAAAACAATGCAACAAGCACCATTACGTAGTAGTCATCGAACCAGGAGCCATTACGAAACGACCACAACGCAATCTACCTGGGGTTTCAACTGGAACGCACGCTACATTCTGATTCACATCGTTCATAGTTAACTCCTGCTTCGCGGGTCCTTCCGTCACTCCAATCTTCCTTGCTGACGACGTCTCCTTCAGGAATATCCTCTGGATTTGCGAAGAATTTTCCATCTCTGGTTTCATGCGAAACAAGGTGGAGTGACGTTATTGAAGATCGGGTCGTTGCGCAGGCTGTATGCACTCTTAGCATTTCTGGCCAGGTCGATACTGGTGGTGACCAGTTGAAATCTTCCAAATCTGTGGGCCATCAATTGGCAATTGGACTAGCTGGTTTGTGATGTTCGGAATCCCCATGGTACGGTTGAAACGTTCCCCTGGGGGAATCCTCCTAACTCGCGAATTTCGGCAGGGTTGTCCGTACCGCATGGAGGGGTGTTCATCGGCTCAATTCGACTGACACCCGACTTGAGATGGGAGGTACGGCAGACCTTCATGGAAAGTGTCCACGGCCGCCGGCGTGAAGTGACTCACGATGAAATGGATCGCTTCAGTCAGTTGGGCTAGTGGTTTCCCAAAAAAAGGCAACGTCCGTCCGCCAAATTGAGTTCTTAAAAGACTTGATGCTTTGAGGAGTGAATGTTCCTTTTCCCTGTCACTGAATTTGTATCGTTCAACTCCCCTCTCCTTCAAACTCCCTCGACATTGGTGGTACTGACTTTCTTCCCGTTGTGTAGTCTGCGGGCAATCACTCTTTTCCCCCTTGCTATTGTTGCAGATAGATAACTGCGGCTCGTTCTTCTTCAGACATTGCATCGCTGGAGAATTCTTCTAAGGATGTCTTGAATTTGGCCTTCGCTATATTTGCACAATGGAGAATGTTGAAGGTACAAGGGAGTTTGCTTCTGACATTTTGAATTTAACAATCTTAGCGGCTTGTAGATGAAAAGGAGGTTGGGAACAGAAATTCAATCTTCCTGATGGCTTGGCCAACCGCTTGCAGGTCATTAGAAGTCTTGCAGATTCAAAACGGATCACTGAGGCGAATGTCTCGGTAAAGTCTAGATTTGATGGAAACCTTGAGCCACTAAACGAGTATTGTTGAGAGTAGGTTTTCCATTTTCATCTCGTTTTGTTTTGAAGACGAACTTTGTCGATAAGCTATTAGCCGTCTCGGTTGCGGTTAGAATCCAAGTAGCGGATTCCAACATCCTTACGAAATTCCCTTATTGAGGAGACGATTAGCCTGGACGACATCAACCGGCGTGGGGAGGGTAACCAGACAACTTTTGTACTTCACTTGCCACCGTTAGTGAAGTATACCCAGCAAAATCCTGTGAATTGCTTCGGATCGCGCAAATTAAGATTCAGCTGTCATGATGCACGCCACATCGTCCTAAGCGAGGAAACACCTCCATTGTTGAGGTTCTGTTGAGGTTCAGCTGTCCTGACCCACGCCACATCGTTCTAGGCGGGGAAACATCTCCATTGTTGAGGTTCAGCTGTCCTGACCCACACCACATCGTTCTAGGCGGGGAAACATCTCCATTGTTGAGGTTCAGCTGTCCTGACCCACACCACATCGTTCCAAACAGGGAAACATCTCCACTGTTGAGGTTCACCAGTCCTGACCCACACCACATCGTTCTAGGCGGGGAAACATCTCCATTGTTGAGGTTCAGCTGTCCTGACCCACACCACATCGTTCTAGGCGGGGAAACATCTCCATTGTTGAGGTTCAGCTGTCCTGACCCACGCCACATCGTTCTAGGCGGGGAAACATCTCCATTGTTGAGGTTCACCAGTCCTGACCCACACCACATCGTTCTAGGCGGGGAAACATCTCCATTGTTGAGGTTCAGCAGTCCTGACCCACACCACATCGTTCTAGGCGGGGAAACATCTCCATTGTTGAGGTTCAGCAGTCCTGACCCACACCACATCGTTCTAGGCGGGGAAACATCTCCACTGTTGAGGTTCAGCTGTCCTGACCCACGCCGCATCGTTCCAAACAGGGAAACATCTCCACTGTTGAGGTTCAGCTGTCCTGACCCACGCCGTATCGTTCCAAACGGGGAAACATCTCCACTGTTGAGGTTCAGCTGTCCTGACCACGCCGCATCGTTCCAAACGGGGAAACATCTCCACTGTTGAGGTTCAGCTGTCCTGACCCAGGCCGCATCGTTCCAAACGGGGAAACATCTCCACTGTTGAGGTTCAGCTGTCCTGACCCACGCCGCATCGTTCCAAACGGGGAAACATCTCCACTGTTGAGGTTCAGCTGTCCTGACCCACGCCGCATCGTTCCAAACGGGGAAACATCTCCACTGTTGAGGTTCAGCTGTCCTGACCCACGCCGCATCGTTCCAAACGGGGAAACATCTCCACTGTTGAGGTTCAGCTGTCCTGACCCACGCCGCATCGTTCCAAACGGGGAAACATCTCCACTGTTGAGGTTCAGCTGTCCTGACCCACGCCGCATCGTTCCAAACGGGGAAACATCTCCACTGTTGAGGTCAAACACTTCAAAGTTACAAGTTATTCGGTGTCCTGATTCCTCTTGCACGAAAGTGTCCGCTTCGCGGTCCTATGAATCTTCGTGGCTTGTTGATCACATCGTCAAGAGTGCGTGCCACTTGCATCCAGTTAGGTGCATCTTTAAATGAGACGCTCTCGTCTGAGGACCCCTCCAGTTCGCTACAAACAGTAGCTTTCTGTTCAGAGGACATTCTGCCAATCTGATGCGTCTAACCAGATCTAGACATTAGGTAAGATTCTCTTTGGTGCTTAAAAGGGTCGACATCAACATGAATCGAAGTAGTTTTCCCGCTCCGTGATGAGATGTTTTTTGTACTACACTGGGCATAGTCACTCAATAACCTTTTTTCTCTTTTGGGCTCGTCACCTGCGGGCATCGCTTGTCACAATGGGACTGAAATTCGGGCGCATCAATCCCCTTCGCGCACTCGTTAATACAGAAATTCAGCTTGCAAGCTCTTCGTTAGCGCAGATCTTAGAGACAAATGAGGATTGTCACTCTCCACTTCTTCCGTGCACGTCGATTTTTCCTTGCGCTTTGGTGTTTCTGTCGAAGATTCAATTCCTCGCCGATTTAAACAGTTGCTTGTCTGTGGAATGACAGGGATGGATTTTCAACCGGAGTTGTTTCTTCATTTACCATGACATTTCAGACATCACTTCGTTCACACATGTTCCGTGATTCGACCGGGGGTGTAACGGTGATCTCTTGTACCTCCGCTTTTTGTTATCCCGGTATCGTTCTTCTGAACTATCCGACTTTCCTTTCTTGTAGTTCTTTTTGTAGAGCACCAATGCTTTCGAATCATCTCGGTGGCTGCGCGGGCTTTCATCTTCGGATCGGACTTCGTATACCCGGCGAGGTGGAGAAGGTGACCGGGTTTCCTCTCTTGCAACCTCGCAAACATCAACAACATCAACAGGCGTGGAGGTCATTTTCGATTAAGCGGAAATAAAAATTTAAAAGAACTGAAATCGAAGAAGAGAAAGATATGATTGTGATCATTGAAAGATATGATTGTGATCATTGAAAGATATGATTGTGATCATTGAAAGATATGATTGTGATCATTGAAAGATATGATTGTGATCATTGAAAGATATGATTGTGATCATTGTTACAGTTCCTACCTTTCTCTCAGTTTAGTGATTCCGTCGTAGATGTTGATGATCGGATGAGCTCAAATTTTATTACATTTTGATATTTATAATTTGATCAAGTAGAGTGACTTTAGTGCAAATAGAATTACAAATCTGTTGCAAAAAGGTGCGCAATTGGCAACGGGCTTCAACAACACGACACTTGCACAGTTGGACACTGTGAAAGGGGTGGTTGGAGAGTTACTGACGGTGACTGAGCAGGAACACGCGCGCGCAAGAGAAAGATATGCCGCGAAGACCATTGCTAAGCCTTTGCTGAATTCGATTTTATAGCCTTTCTCTTCTAACCGCTCGACTGATAACAGATTATAATTAACTAACTGGCGTGACAAAGAGCCAAGCGAGAAGTCCTAACCTTGGATTGTTCTGAGGAAGAAGACTCGGATGTGGTTCAATTATTTGATGGTGGTTCAATTATCTGATGGTGGTTCAATTATCTGATGGTGGTTCAATTATCTGATGGTGGTTCAATTATCTGATGGTGGTTCAATTCTCTGATGGTGGTTCAATTGTCGGAGGTGATGATGATGGTTGACCTCTGACGGGGAAACAATAATCCTTAAGAAAACAAAGTACGTTGAAGTTGAATTATCTGTAGCTGGAGTGCCGCTGAGAGTTATTCTTGATTCTGGTTTCTGTGTAGACTTGATGTTTGAAGCAACCGCGGAAAGACTAAGAATAAAACTTAATCCAGACAAACAGAAAGTTTTTATTAAAGATGTACGATTGTTGAGGAATAACATTTCAATCCTTCAGACTGGCTAATTCTCCGAAGCAGCAACTGATTTGGCGAGTACTATTGAAGACCGTAAATGATGTTGCGAGAACTAGATCGGTTACGATAGTGGCATGAGTAATTCCGGTCTTTATCTCTTTTCTTGCATCGTTCTTGTTCTTTCACCCAAAAGTCTTTTCGTCTGGAAGCTTCGTCCCAGGCATCTTTCTCCTTCCTTCCTCGAATAGCCAGTGATGAGTAAGACAATTAAACGTCGCCTCATGGAATTTGATGTCGTTGTATTCAGAGAGTCAACCATTCCATGTTGATCTTTCTGAGTTGACGAAGACATTCCTGAGTAAACGGAGTGGGGTCCCAGTTTTGGATTCAGATTTTTTTGATGCTGCAATCTTTTCCCACCGCTGCAGACTAGCTGATACTGTTAACTCTCCGAACATCCCCAGAGAGTATGATGTTTCGGATGCATCGACGTTGGTTATCGAGATACTTTTGTATAAAAAGTTGATTTTTGGGATTGAGTAATGAGATGAAAGCTTTCATAAGTGAAAGACTTCGGGTCCATGCGTGACCCCAAGGAAGATGACAAAACGATCTCGTGAATATATTATTTGGTGGGTGGCGGTTTCATTCGTTGACAGGTTTCAATTTTTCCCCACATATCAAGTTCCCCCATTGGGGGTCTAACAAAAGAATTGGTCATACACTCATTTTTGCAACAGCTACCGGTCTTTGAATTGAAAGGATATTCAGCAGAATTCACACTGTCCCATTCCTGATCAGGTTAAGGCACAGACGACTTGGATCTACTCTGAATAGAGCATCATAATGAAGAGCGTATTGAGTGTAGAGAGGAGCGTGTTGAGTGTAGAGAGGAGCGTGTTGAGTGTAGAGAGGAGCGTGTTGAGTGTAGAGAGGAGCGTGTTGAGTGTAGAGAGGAGCGTGTTGAGTGTAGAGAGGAGCGTGTTGAGTGTAGAGAGGAGCGTGTTGAGTGTAGAGAGGAGCGTGTTGAGTGTAGAGAGGAGCGTATTGAGTGTAGAGAGGAGCGTATTGAGTGTAGAGAGGAGCGTGTTGAGTGTAGAGAGGAGCGTGTTGAGTGTAGAGAGGAGCGTGTTGAGTGTAGAGAGGAGCGTATTGAGTGTAGAGAGGAGCGTGTTGAGTGTAGAGAGGAGCGTGTTGAGTGTAGAGAGGAGCGTGTTGAGTGTAGAGAGGAGCGTGTTGAGTGTAGAGAGGAGCGTGTTGAGTGTAGAGAGGAGCGTGTTGAGTGTAGAGAGGAGCGTGTTGAGTGTAGAGAGGAGCGTGTTGAGTGTAGAGAGGAGCGTGTTGAGTGTAGAGAGGAGCGTGTTGAGTGTAGAGAGGAGCGTGTTGAGTGTAGAGAGGAGCGTGTTGAGTGTAGAGAGGAGCGTGTTGAGTGTAGAGAGGAGCGTGTTGAGTGTAGAGAGGAGCGTGTTGAGTGTAGAGAGGAGCGTATTGAGGGTAGAGAGGAGCGTGTTGAGTGTAGAGAGGAGCGTGTTGAGGGTAGAGAGGAGCGTGTTGAGTGTAGAGAGGAGCGTGTTGAGTGTAGAGAGGAGCGTGTTGAGTGTAGAGAGGAGCGTGTTGAGTGTAGAGAGGAGCGTGTTGAGTGTAGAGAGGAGCGTGTTGAGTGTAGAGAGGAGCGTGTTGAGTGTAGAGAGGAGCGTGTTGAGTGTAGAGAGGAGCGTGTTGAGTGTAGAGAGGAGCGTGTTGAGTGTAGAGAGGAGCGTGTTGAGTGTAGAGAGGAGCGTGTTGAGTGTAGAGAGGAGCGTGTTGAGTGTAGAGAGGAGCGTGTTGAGTGTAGAGAGGAGCGTGTTGAGTGTAGAGAGGAGCGTGTTGAGTGTAGAGAGGAGCGTGTTGAGTGTAGAGAGGAGCGTGTTGAGTGTAGAGAGGAGCGTGTTGAGTGTAGAGAGGAGCGTGTTGAGTGTAGAGAGGAGCGTGTTGAGTGTAGAGAGGAGCGTGTTGAGTGTAGAGAGGAGCGTGTTGAGGGTAGAGAGGAGCGTGTTGAGTGTAGAGAGGAGCGTGTTGAGGGTAGAGAGGAGCGTGTTGAGTGTAGAGAGGAGCGTGTTGAGTGTAGAGAGGAGCGTGTTGAGTGTAGAGAGGAGCGTGTTGAGTGTAGAGAGGAGCGTGTTGAGTGTAGAGAGGAGCGTGTTGAGTGTAGAGAGGAGCGTGTTGAGTGTAGAGAGGAGCGTGTTGAGTGTAGAGAGGAGCGTGTTGAGTGTAGAGAGGAGCGTATTGAGGGTAGAGAGGAGCGTGTTGAGTGTAGAGAGGAGCGTGTTGAGTGTAGAGAGGAGCGTATTGAGGGTAGAGAGGAGCGTGTTGAGTGTAGAGAGGAGCGTGTTGAGTGTAGAGAGGAGCGTGTTGAGTGTAGAGAGGAGCGTGTTGAGTGTAGAGAGGAGCGTGTTGAGTGTAGAGAGGAGCGTGTTGAGTGTAGAGAGGAGCGTGTTGAGTGTAGAGAGGAGCGTGTTGAGTGTAGAGAGGAGCGTGTTGAGTGTAGAGAGGAGCGTGTTGAGTGTAGAGAGGAGCGTGTTGAGTGTAGAGAGGAGCGTGTTGAGGGTAGAGAGGAGCGTGTTGAGTGTAGAGAGGAGCGTGTTGAGTGTAGAGAGGAGCGTGTTGAGTGTAGAGAGGAGCGTGTTGAGGGTAGAGAGGAGCGTGTTGAGTGTAGAGAGGAGCGTGTTGAGGGTAGAGAGGAGCGTGTTGAGTGTAGAGAGGAGCGTGTTGAGGGTAGAGAGGAGCGTGTTGAGTGTAGAGAGGAGCGTGTTGAGTGTAGAGAGGAGCGTGTTGAGGGTAGAGAGGAGCGTATTGAGTGTAGAGAGGAGCGTGTTGAGTGTAGAGAGGAGCATGTTGAGTGTAGAGAGGAGCATGTTGAGTGTAGAGAGGAGCGTGTTGAGTGTAGAGAGGAGCGTGTTGAGTGTAGAGAGGAGCGTGTTGAGTGTAGAGAGGAGCGTGTTGAGTGTAGAGAGGAGCGTGTTGAGGGTAGAGAGGAGCGTGTTGAGTGTAGAGAGGAGCGTGTTGAGTGTAGAGAGGAGCGTGTTGAGTGTAGAGAGGAGCGTGTTGAGGGTAGAGAGGAGCGTGTTGAGTGTAGAGAGGAGCGTGTTGAGGGTAGAGAGGAGCGTGTTGAGTGTAGAGAGGAGCGTGTTGAGTGTAGAGAGGAGCGTGTTGAGTGTAGAGAGGAGCGTGTTGAGTGTAGAGAGGAGCGTGTTGAGTGTAGAGAGGAGCGTGTTGAGTGTAGAGAGGAGCGTGTTGAGTGTAGAGAGGAGCGTGTTGAGTGTAGAGAGGAGCGTATTGAGGGTAGAGAGGAGCGTATTGAGTGTTCCTGCTGCTTCTCATTCAGTGTAAATTGTTCTCTCAGTGTAGATTGTTGATTGATCTCTCAGTGTAAATTATTGATTGATCTCTCAGTGTAAATTGTTGATTGATCTCACTTAGTAAATTGTTGATTGATCTCTCAGTGTAAATTGTTGATTGATCTCACTTAGTAAATTGTTCCACTCAGTAAATTGTTGATTCATC